AGCGTGACCACTCCGTGGGTGAGTCCAAGTTTCTATATCACTCGCACTCAGTGCAAACCGAGTGTTCGTGATCGTCAGGCCGTGAGTGGCACACAATAAGAGCAACCTGTCACCGTTCGCATTCGCTCAACCAATGTCATGCGAACCGATAACGTCTGTCCACGCTGATGCATCACGCCCAACGCGCGCGTTGAAATCATCCAGCAGAAATAGTCAGTCGCTCCTCGGCACAGACCGTATCACGGAGGATAGCTCAGTGTAGAACTGATCACGCGTGTCATCAGGATAACACATGGTCGGACCGTACGTGCTTATAAAAGTAGCAAACTTTCCCTTCGGAGCCGTAGGCGAACAGTCATCAGTCGCGCGCTGATGCCTGTTGGTTCACCCACCAGCTGGCCATGGAGGCGATCGGATATTTCAAATCCGACCTCATGTTCACGTGGTGCTGAGGTGGCGTTGCCCACCCAGTAGAATGTGTAGCCAGCACCTGCTTCACGCAACCTACCTTACTCAGCGAGTCGAGTCGCACTGAGCACCGCAATATCGATGTGGTAACGCGCCAGCTCCATCGCGACCAGTGCAGTGCGTCGCTCAGGGCGCCCACTGGAGTTCCGGTCCAGTAGTGTGCGCACGTTCCAGCACCCGATGCTGAGTGCCTTGCGTGCAGGCATACGATTGCATTGGTGGGCAATCGTACGCGAGGTGGTCGTTGTGCTTCGGAGGTTTGCTTCAGGGACATCACCCGAAGCGCTTGGCTCAATAGCCTGACCCACAAGACAGTGGGTGGTTTGAAGGTTTGCTTGAGAGACTCCGCCCGGAGCCTTTGGCTCAATAGCCTGACCCACAAGGCAGTGGAGAGCAAATCCAGCTCGGGAATGTGATTGCAGAGACAGATTAGGATCTGCTTGACAGCCATCACACGCAGCCTTTGAGGTACTGGAACGACTCAGATATGTTTTGCGACCGTAGTAGGATACACCTGCGACAACGGCCAGACGCAGGTGGGTTTTGGCGGGTTTGCACCAATTTGACTAGGGGCTGCCTGGCTTGAGGCGGGCAGTAGCAAACCATTGAACACCCGGAGGTGTCCTCCCACCGTCAGAGACAATGCGTGGCCCTCGTGCTCTACGGCAATCGAGCTGTAAGCTTATAACCTGTAGACCTGTTGTCTCCCATGGATAGGTTTTACGGGAAGAGGGCAATGGACCACTTCCTAACCTCCGAAGAGGATGGACTAGGATACTGCCAGGGCGCCCAATCCTGACAGGAGAACGACTCGGGTCCTCAGCCAAAGCCTTCGATTAAATGTGCACCCGAAATGCAGCGGGTCTTACACGTGGTCAGTTCACTGATCATGCGGATTGGTGTCCTAGATAATAGCAGGAAGAAGGGCGAAATAAAACTCCCACCCAGCGGTCGCCAAGAGGTGTCCGGGACATGAGCCCAAGGCACACGTATAGCAGCAGTTCTTCAGCGCACTAGAGGCTCTTCCGACTTTACATATGGTTGACGGCATCCGGTTTCGCATTTGCCTGTCACTGTGGCAAGCCACAGGACGCCTGCGCCTACAGAGGGACCATGGATGGCTTGCGCTGCAACACCCACAGCTCCAACCACATACCCCATATCCAGTGTAAACCCGAAGGAATAAGACCGGGAGGCATGTGGATGGGAACCACATTTCATCAACGGAGCCGGCCCACACTCCTTCACAGGCAAACACAAGCACGCTGTAGTTCGGAATCAAGCACACACAAGGCGGTGGCTGGACCGCAGTCCGCTCCACACTGAGTGCATGGAACCGCTCTTTGAGCCTAGCACGGCCACAAGAACCGTGCACCCCGTCCCCGTCCAGCAACGACCAACTGTCTCCTGGATCCAGTATGGACGAGGTAGTGGGTAATAGACAGGTAGGCACCTTGTCAACATGCACATCAAGCGCAGCCACACCGGGGATATCAAGCAACAGCCAACCACTTGACAGAAAGCTAACAAAAAAAATCGAGTAATGCATATAAAACGTGAAAATATTTAACTTAATGAGCATATGAAATAAGTTGTTAACAAAGGATCCGAGATAAGTTCAGGGGGTCAGAAAGTATATTTTACGGAAATGACACAAAAGCAAAAATGGTTTTCGAAATTAACCACAACTGGCTTAAGAGAGTTGTGCAGGTTTATAGAAGAGCGTACAGGTACAAATTTATTTCACAAAGAAAATCATTAGGACAAAATTGAAAACCCACCACATGAAATAAAGAGACTTAGCATGCAAGCACGCGGTTAGTAAATCGAATGCAGCGTATCTACAAACGCTGCGCTGGTTCTGCCTACCTTCTCTGCATATATGTGGCGACGACGCCACAAGTGAGCAAAGGCCGAGTGGGCTTTAGAGATAAGGAGACATCGTTTCTACGATAGATCCGTCGGTAGAGATACTGCTCCCATGGTAAACAAAACTATCCATCTGCACAAGCTGTTTTTCTTGGTGAGCTCAAGGAGAGCACTATGCCAATCCTGTGTCAGCACTTTGAGAAAACAAAGCACATACCATACTTACATGCCTCAATCACCAGTCAGTCAATTATTAGTTGCACACTAACAGGGCCGTCCCCGAGCAACGCAATATCATCAGTGTAATCTAAGTCGGTTGCACGATTACCTGGAAAAGCCTCAATTCCAGCATTCTGAAATAGCTCTAGAGCTCCCAACATGAGATCTAGGATTGCAAAGTTGAAAAGAAATGGGGACATAAGGCATCCTTGTACCACATCACTGGTGATAGGTAAGACTGCTGAGAGCTTGCCGTAAGCTCATACTCCAGCTGAAGTATGGAGATATACCGCCCGGAGAATAGCGACATAATTTACCGGGACTCTGTTCTTTAGTGGACAATGAGATAAGGTCGGTTTATCGAGTGGAATGCAGCCCGAATGTCCAGGAAGACGACGAGGGTGTGTCTGCCGCATACGTGACAATGTTTAAGGAATTGACAGCGTGAAGATAAGATCCATGCGACATCTTTGGCGACAGCTGATCCGCAGCACTGGTCCCAGAAAACTAGGCGTAAGTGAAACAATCAGAGACAGCACGGGTGCACTGATACACAATAAGGAGCGCCGTATGGCTCGTTGGGCGGAACACCTTCAAGATCAGTTCAGCT